GCATAATATGCTCTAATGACCAGGTGCTCTAATGATTATTGCATGAAGTAATTTTCATGGATAGCTTTATCACTAGTGCTTCCATGTCGATAACCTGAAACAAGCATGGCATCAGTACTTCTAAAGTTATAGCTGTATAGTTTCTGACATGGTTGGGAACTTCATATTTTCCTAGTTTTCAAACAATTAGGCTTTGGATGTTTAGATTTGGAGGTGAAGAAGCTGAAAACTGATTGGGCCACAACTGCAGCAAAGCAGGTCTCAGATACCCCAAAATATAGGCTAAGGAAAACATATCACCTAGTAATGCCTTGAATCCTGTTATATTTACAGGCAGACTTTTGCTAATGTTATTTTGAACAATAAGGAATCAAAATCACCGACTTTCTCCAAAAATATTCACAGCAAAAAAAAATAAAAAATGGAAAAACACTAATCAGACAATAAGTTTTATAAGTTTATGTTTATTTTACCAAAAATATGAGGCTATAAAAACACTTGGAAATTACTATTCAACAATCAAAGAAGGAAATTGGGCCCCGTTTTTACAAAGCACTTCATAAAGGCATTGAATACTTTCAGTTTCATGAATGAGGACATCATAGAGTCTGAAATCGCAAACAGTAGGGCTGGAAGGGACTTCAAGAGGTTGCCTACCCTAACCTCCTGCTCATTCATCAAGTGGATGGACTGTTCAATGCATAATACATTCGGTAACCTTTACCCTGCTTTGTATTTCTCCCTTTTATTTCCCTTTCCCTTCAATCCACCCTTTAACCATAAACTGCTAGAATTTTCCTGTCCTACAGAAGTCAGTGACCTAAAGGATGTACAGAGATAAGGCAATGAGCCCAATTTCTGTTTGCTTCCTGTTCTCTACGGTTTGGCAGTTCAAGGACCCCACTGAGCCTTTACTGATCTACAACAGTAGAAAGTCGGCAGGGTCCTCTAAGGACTTGGAGAACAGGATGGTTTCGACTCCAGAGGCAGAAAAGTATGAGAAAAGGCTATTTCACCCCACGTCTCAATGACACAGACTAAGTGGAGAATTCCAGACCCAGAGCCAAGGGTGGATTCTCTCCCTCATGAATGATGCCAGTGGGAAAGTGAAGATCAAGCTCTCATTATCTGCATCAAAAAAGGCCACTTGCCCACGGTCATAATCCAGGTAAATCCCAACCCTCCTGGGGACCCAATTCATGGACAGGGGAGTCACAGGGGAGGTGAGAGCCTGGAACTGGCCCCCCCACCGCTGCACTGCCCAGACTCCCTCATCAGAGATAAAGGTGCTTTCTCCTTTCCTTCTCACAGACTCCCTGGCAACTCCCACCGCCCAGTCCTTTCCATCCCCCACCTCCACTTCCCAGTAATGTCTCCCCGAGGAAAATCCCTCGCAGCCCAGCACGCAGGGATCAGTGTCAAATCTCTCAGGATTGTCAGGCAGATCCTGTTGCTTGTCATCCCGTCTCACACTTTTTTGATCCTCTGACACAATGAGCCATGGATTTGCAGTGTCCAGATCCAGCATCACATTTTCTACAGAGAGAGAGAAGGAAGAGAAAAAGGGGGGAAAAAATCAAGCAATGAAAGGGCAGAGTATAGCCATGACAGAAGATTTGACTGGATCAATGATGAAGGGTGTAAAGCAATGTAACCATTTATGAATATCAAAGGATACCAATGTAAGCTCTTATGATACATCAGACACCTCTACATGATTCTGCAGTGATTCAAGCACCCTGTGGCTGTCTAGGAAAATTTTATCTCATATCTTCTCTTTTTCTTTTTGCCACTTGGCCTTTCCCACATCACTGCCAGCTCACTACATTTCCATTGCGCAGTTTGATACCTACCTCTTCTTTGCTATGCTCTCTCTTGTATTTGAGATGTCACTGCCCTCTTCACCACATAATCAAGACCACACACACATAATTTAATTGTCTACACTCCCAGACTATTGCTCAGCCTCCCATGGCAGTTCTCAGAAGCTGAGAGAACTGGAGAAGAATCAGGAGACAAAAGAAGCAGCAACATTCATGAAGAATACTGCCAATGATCACCTGTTGGGTAAGAAACTGTGTCCCCTCTCAGCAGATGGTGCCCGATGTGTAATAAGGAACCCCTTCTCCTATTACATATAGAGAGGACCCTGTATATTTAAGGTTGCCAGGCCAAGGTTAGGATCACACTTTCCCAAGGGAATATATAACAGGCCTGACCACAGTAGCCAGGCAATGAAGGAGGAAGCAGTATAGAGACAGGAGCTCTGCCCGACAGGAGCAGGTTCCAGGTGTCAGTCCTCATTTTCAAGGTGCTCAGCAGTCTGGCCTATGGCATTTATAAGAGAAGTTTAAGCTGCAGGATAAGGACTTTGTTTGTCAGCTCTGCTTCTCGTGTGCAATGGAGCTGTCACTGTACAGCTAAGGCATGTCTGTGCTGAAGGAAGAACTTTCCCAGAGACCAGCCTGATACTGTGGAATGAACTCCCACAGGAAAAATGGACTATCACAAATGTCAGCACCTTTTACTCCAAGTGCAAGGCTCTCTTTCTGTGTCAGCTTTTTCTAACAGAAACAAATGGGTGCATATATCTGAAGTATACGCCTGATGAAAACAGCCTGGGCACAGAATTATCCAGCTGTGGAAGACAACAAAAAACCCAAATGAAATAGAGGGCAGAGGTTAGTCATATTGCCAGAGGCTGCTCAGAGGCCCTGGGGATAAAAATATAAGAAACTTTATTTAGGGGAAAAAAAATAGAGCATTGCTGGTGGGCTCAGGCAATGACAAATATGGCTCTGTGTTAATGACTGCATCTGGGAGGGATGTAAAAGACAGAAAAACATCTGGATGTCATGGCCCCAAAATGTGCTTCACTGGCAGATATGGCCTCATAAATTCATAGATTCATAGAAGTAAGGTCAGAAGGGACCTTGTAGATCTTCTAGTCCGAACCCCTGCCTTGGGCAGGAGAGAAAACTGGGCTCAATTGACCCCAGCCAGGTAAACATCGAGCTTCCTCTTAAAGACCCCCAGGGTAGGAGCCAGCACCACTTCTCGTGAAAGTTGGTTCCAGGTCCTAGCCGCCCTGACTGTGAAGTAGTGCCTTTGGATGTCTAGTCTAAACCTATTCTCTAGCAATTTATGGCCGTTATTCCTTGTTACTCCAGAAGGCGCTCAGGGGAACAAGGTCTCTCCCAAACCCCGCTGGTCCCCCCTAGTAAGTTTATAGACAGCCACCAGGTCCCCCCTCAGCCTTCTCTTGCGAAGGCTGAACAGGTTCAGGTCCTGTAGCCTCTCCTCATAGGGT